CTTCGAAGAGATCCGCATGTTCAGGTAATAAATTGAATCTGTCAATTATTTACAACGTTAGCAAAAAAAAGATGTCATAATTTGATTGGGACCACTAAACATGCGCTTCCTGCAAAGTTGCAAGTTTGATCTTACTCTCAACGCTTTCTTAATGCACGCCATTTATCCCGACCATAGAGCTCATCCATAGTAACACGAGATGAACAACCAATTTGCCACGTTTTTACAACAAAATTGCTCATATTCACTTAGTGTTCTGCAGTCAACATGATAACGATAGATAATTGCTCTTTGTCATAGAACATATGAACTAGTTTTGTAACAGACAGAGAAACACACACATATATATATAGACAAACTCAGCGCTTTTTTATAAGTAACAATAATTTGATTTCGATTTTTAAATTTCTACCACAATTTTCATCAAAATCACTTTTATGAGTTTAAACGGAGACGGACTGCCGCTCAAAACGCTTGAAATATCAACGAAGCATGGGGCAAAAGTATCAATAGATACCAGTATAACGTTGCATAATACGTGCTGGCAACACAGCCTCGAAGATGAATCACATGGCAGCCCCACCAATAATTGATAACTATCTATTGAAGACACGAAGTTACTCCGCATAAAATCCCAGGACACTGCCGAGAAGCTCAACAGCTCTACAGTTTTTCGCCTCTGAAATAAAAGGGAAGGACCGAGAAGCTTGACGAGTGGGTTCCGCATGAATTGACCGAAAGGAAGGATTGCCGTTTTGTGATATCGTCAGCCCATCTGCGCAATGCATCGAACCGTTTCTTGGACGTTAGGTGATGCGATGACTGCAATGAGAAATGGATGTTTATGGTAACGCCAACGATCTGCTCAATGGCTGGACCGAAAAGGAGCTCCACGACATCACTCAAAGCCGAAAACTCAGCAAAAGAAGTATATGGTAACGGTATGGTGATCTGCATTGGGCATCAACAAGCTCTATCTTTCCAACCCGGATGTAAATATTTCAGTAGAGATTAGTCAGCAAATAGGCGAAATGCACCGGAGGTGCGAAGTATGTGCCCGGTATTGATCAATAGTAAAGGAGCAATCCTTCTTCATGACAACTTGCTTCCAGAATCCCAGCTTTTATGATATCGGTAAGGAAATTGTTTCTCAAAAGTGTGCTATTTGAAATGGCGATTACTTTGTTGAAATAAATTTTTTGGAGTTTTATATTAATTTAAATATTACAAAAACCTGCATTTTCGCACGAATTATACTCTACCCAACGCTTCAGCAGAAGTTATTGAACTACTTCGATAGGAAAATTAACATACCTGTTCAAGACCTTCAATCTTCATGATCTTGTTGTGGACAAGATAAAGTGTTTTGAGTTTCGTGAGCGCTTCAAGATTTTCGATCTTACAGATGCGATTGAAGGAGAGATCCAGCGTTTCCAAATTTATCAAGGTGGAAAGGTTTTCAATTTTTTCTATCTAGAAGAAGATCTTTTGTATTTGGTCAGTACAGGAGCGTTTCCGACCAGCTACTCTATGCGATTAACGGAGCATGCTTGTCAAATGTTTATCTCTGTCAGCGTAATCCTTCTAATTGCTCTATTATTAATGTGGCTTGCGGGTGAGGGGTGGGAGTGGCCGGAGACGTTCTTTTACTCGATCATCATTAACAATTTTCAAAAACTAGAACCTGATTGTCATAAAGATCCAATTCAGTCAAAGTTGTTAGAGTATCTAGACCTTCAATTTTCTTGAGCAAATTCCATCGAAGGCAGAGAGATTGGATCTTAAAATACTCTTTCAGCATCTATTTCGAGATCATAAGAAAATTCATTACTTTGCGGAGGAATTCAAATCCCTCAATTTTCATAAGACGAGTTCGGGTCAGGTCTAGTGATATGGCATCCTTGTCAACCTGAAAGGTAAGTAAGCATAGAACAAGCTGGAACCTAACTGTGGTGCTTACCTCAATAACGTTCTCATCTTTATCAGCACAACCATTTGTTTCTTCAACTCTTTCTTCGACACCTTCCACGGTTACAGACATGGTCAAATGAATGCAGCTCAGAAGTACAGGTGATAATGAATAGCGTTTTGCTGATTATGATAGCATTTCAGCATTGCATTAATCATTTCCTAAGTTTGAC